CAAAAAAAAAAAAAAAAGTGTCAGACAGGCTTGGGGCTTTAGCAGAACTTTGTTTCATGGGAGGAGCCACCACAGAGAGTCCCCACTAGGGTAATGCTTAGTTGAGTCATGAAAATGAGGCTGCCTCAGAGACCCCAGAACTGTAGCAGTACCAGTGTGCAACTGCAGCCTGGGAGAACTGCAGGCACAAGACTCCAAACTATGAGAGCTGCTGAGTGGACTGAGTCCAGCAAAGCCATGGGGTCAGGGCTGCCTATCACCTTGGTGACCCAACCCTTGTTACAGCGTGCCCAGGAAGTGGGACATGAAGTCAAAGGAGATTATTCTCCAGCTTTAAGACTTAATGTTGTTTTCTCTGTTGGGTTTCAAACTTACTGGGGGACCAGTTACCTATTTCTTTTTTCCTGTTTATCCCTTTTGGAATGGGAATGTTTATTTTATGCCTGTCCCACCACTGCATTTTGAAAGTAGAGAACTTGTTTTGATTTCACAGGCTCACAGCTAGAGGGAATTGGACTTGAGGTGAATTCTGCCTTGAGTCTCACTCATATTTGATTTAGATGAAACACTGGACTTTGCACTATTAAGTTGATGCTGGAACAAATTAAGACTTTTGGGGCTATTGGGATGGAATGAGTGTAGTTTGTATGTGAGAAGGACATGAGATTTAGGGGGCTGGGATGGAGTGTTTTGATTTGAATGTCACCTCCAAAACTCATGTTGAAATTTAGTTGTCATTGTGTTGATATTAAGAGGTGGGACCATTAAGAGGAGATTAGGCCATGAAGGCTCTGTCCTTATGAATTAATGTAGTTATCTGGAGTGGATTCTTGATTGTGAGAGTTGGTTGTTGTAAAAATGAGTTTGGTCCCCTCTTGCATGCTTGTGCTTTCTTCCCCTTTCACCATGAAATGACACAGCAAGAAGGCCCTCACCAGATACTGGCACTTTGATATTGAACTTCCCAGTTTTCAGAACTGTGAGAAATACATTTCTTTCTTTTTTTCTTTTATGCATTACCCATTTTCAGGTGTTCCATTTTAGCAGTGAAAATGCACTGAGACATGACAAGAAAGAGTTAATCCTTTAAAGCAAGTGCCTAAAGTACACTCTGGGAAATCTGACTGAATGAGTTACTGTTCAGCCTGACATTAAACTCCTGGCTCCTTGTCTGGCATGTGAACCATTAGATCACATTTCTTTCTCCTGATGGATCTATTTTTTAATGAATTGAAAAAAAATACCCAGTGGTTCCTTTTGTGTGAAGAAACAAGATAAATATTAGCCAGAAAAGGTCATTTTGGTTTCCAATATGTAGGGAGTTTATTATGATGGGTCTGATAAATTATACTGTATAGTTCTTTCTGATAGCAGAAGGTCACGTCATGCCCTTGGGTGGACATAGGACAAACATACTTAATAAAGTTGGAGGATTTAGGAGATGAGCATTTCCAAGTTGTTTCTCCCAAGCTACTTATATTTATATAGTTTTTCAAAGCCATTTTCCTCTTGTTGAACTAATTACTCAAGGCCTACTCTCTCTTGTGCGTAGCCCCAAAGGGGTGGGTCTTCAGATTTATTATCTAAAGTGTTCTCTAATCAAACTTATGAAATTATCTTCACATGATATGAGGAGGAGAAAAATCTCAGTTGTGTATGGTGGTGGATTAGTAATTGGTTCTACAAGATTCTAAAGTAATTAGACTGCATTTCAAAAATCATTTTTATGTTATATTTGCAACTTTAATATTTATTAATGCATATCATTATTTTTCTCTGATCACCACTGGGAGGGATATATTTAACTTAGTAACATGAAACATTATGTAGTTCCATGTTCTGTTTTTTCTTAAGATGTCTCTGCCTTGGAATCATCTGAGTCTTTCTTTTAAAAATGTGTTCATTAAGTAGAAAAAGTCATTTTAGGTCTGTCCATTGAGGGAGGGTATTGAGTGTCAACTATGGTATTCACAAGTGTTATTTATATTTTGGTATGGTGGATTATATTGGAAACATTTTTTCTCTCTGTCTTATTAACATTTTTTGAAAACAACCTTGTTGACTGTCTAGCATCATCTTGAGGTTTCCATTATGTAAATCTAGGAATTAAGATCTTTATGCTGGCCTTTCCAAGTTGCAGATCTTGGAATCCCCGTCCCAATTTTTCTTTTTGTCCAATGGTCAATGAAATGGGAGGGTGAAATTGTGCTTCTTGAATGACTTAGGGCCCTCTTCAAATTTTGAATGCTTTGCTTCTGAGGGAACTTCTTTAAAACTATATTGTGTTAACTAATGTGCGGCTAGTTAATGACTATATAATTCTGTATCTTTTTCCTCCCTAATATTAGGACATTTAACAAATATGGGTATGTTTGTTTACCACTTGCCTGAAATTGTAGGCATCATGGTAAAAACTTATTTTGCTATTGGAAATCTGTTTCATTTCAACATTAAAATGCGGATTAATTCCTTTTTTTTTTTTTTTTTTAAAACATAGGTCTTCCAAGCTAAGATAATTTTTTGGAACTGCAGAAATGGTTGGTTCTAGCTACAAATGGGAATTTGGAGTCACTCTGAAATACATCCTGGAATAATTGTGCTTGACTGGAACCAAATCTTATGAAGTCTCCAAGGTAAAATGATTTTAACATGCACATAGAGGTGATGTCTTTACAAAATATTGAGAATTTAGCAGAACTGAGTACACTAGAGTCGATCCTTTATAAAAGCCTGCTTTTACATAAAATTTTTGGGAATTTGGGGAAATACTGTTTTTTTAAATTTTAGCTTTCATCTTTGGAATCAAATTATTTCAGTTTGCAAAGCAATACTTTGATTCAGTAGAGGACAAGATGAGAAAATATAGAATTATTGCTGAATAGCTTTCGGGTCCCACCTCCACTACTATGCCCTGGCATTTTTCTGGGATATCATAGCTATTGTTAAGCAAATGCTTGTTTTAGGGACTGGGAACTTGTTGCTACTCACCTAGGAAACTGGGATGTTTAATTGTCCATGTAAGAAAAAGACAGATTAGGGATATTGACTGGAATTTGAATGTCTGCCCTTGAGACTTTAGATATTTTTTGTTGAGATCCACCCAGGAAAATGGAAACCATTCTGATACTGTGGAACAGAGGCAAATGAGCTTAGAAAGTCGGTTAATTATACGATGGGAGAGTCAGAGGAACCAATCAGAAGATATGCAGGAAGCCACTACTATCTCTGGGCTGGTGGGGTAAAGGAAGTAGTGTTTGGCAACACCTGGGAGAAGGGCTCTTGAATGGAAGTTGGAACCATAGTAGGCCCTTTCGGCAGGAGCCATGGCAAAGAAATGGCTACTCCCCAGATCCAGCCTAACACAGAGAATACCCTGGCTTTTTTCTTTGTCCTGTTGTCCAGGTTCTTGCCATTGTCATTCCTTGACTGAGTCAGGCTAGGAGCCAGAGAACCCACCCGGGAGCCTGGGAAATGCAGCCTAGAGGTCTCCTAAGCCCTCAGTACAGAGGAAGGTGAAGAATGGACCTGAAGGCAAAACAGGTCCAGGCTAGCATAGGGTAGAGTTCATATAAGTATATTTTAAATTGGCTTCTTTTTCTTTTTACAGTACCACTTAAATGGCTGAAGAGCCTCCCATCTCATGGCTGTGTCATGGCTCATCTAACCACTCCCATATTGTTAAAAATTTGGATAATTTTCAATAGTATAAACAATAGCAAATTTCCCTCATACATTTCTGGTTATTTCTTTAGTGTTAAATCCTATAAGTGATTTGCGGGATTGAAGAATATGAACATTGTAAACGTTTGACGCACCTTTATCAAATTACCCACAAATTTATAATTTTACCAAGTTAAAGCTTTTCTCTATTGTTTTAGAGATATTTTATTCAGTTGTTGCCAACAGTGGAACATCATTTAAAATATTTTAATTGCCTCCCCTAGTGTGTAGGTGGCAATGTGGCTGTGAATGGGATTCATACCTTTGATTAAATTACAACTATGAGGCATAATGAAGGGATTTTGCAGATGATTTTAGGGGTCCCACATGAATCTACTTTCAGTTAATCAAAAGAGAGATTATTCTGGGTGAGCATGACCTAGTCAGTCCAGCACTAAAAAGAGACTGGGCCTTTCCTAGAAGAAGAGATTTGAACCGTGAATGTGGCGGGGCTGTGTGGCAAAGATGTGAATGTAGCTTCTAGGACTTGAGAGCAGATCCTGGCCTATAGCAAGAACACGGGGCCTTCAGTCATAGAGTCCCAAGAAAATGACTTTTGCCAACAAGCTGGGGGCTCTTGGAAGTAATCTTACCCTAGTTAAGCCTCTGGATGAGGACATGCCCAGCTGACACCTTGATTTCAGCCTTATAAATCCTTATGCAGAGGACTGGAACACACCAGACTCCTTACTTACAAAAGCTATAAGATAATGTATTTGTGTCATTTTAAACTTCTCCCATCTAAGTACTTACCAGGCCCTACCCTGCTTAGTTTCTGAGATCAGATGGGATCAGACACGTTCAGGATGGTATGGCCATAGACTGTTGGTTTAAACTTCTAATTTTGGTAATTTGCTTCAGACATGCCAAGCATTCTAAACCTACACAGAAACATTCTGCCTCTCTGCTCTGAAGGGCCTGCTTGTGTTTTAATTTCGCAAAGCATGTTTTCTGTCTCTTCCACCTCAGTGTACATTCATGAAGGGAACAGAAACTCTTGAAGCAGCTGTAAAGGCTGTGAAAAAAAAAGATATGTAGCCGGGCTTGGTGGCACAGCCTGTAGTCCCACGCCTTTGGGAGGCTGAGGTGAGTGGATTGCCTGAGCCCGCGGGTTCGAGACCCTCCTGGGCAGCGAGACCTCATCTCTACAATAAATCAAAAAAATCAGCCGGGTGTGGTAGCGCATGCCTGTAATTCCGGCTACTTGGAAGGCTGAGTCGGAAGGATAGCCAGAGCCCAGCAGGTCGAGGCTGCGGTGGCCGGGAGTGGCCACTGCACTCCAGTCTGGGCGACAGAGTGAGACTCCAACTCAAAAAAAAAAAAGATATGTGACCAGACATGGTGGCTCACGCCTGTAATGTCAGCACTTTGGGAGATTAAGGCAGGAGGATTGCTTGAGGCCAGGAGTGAGACCTGGGCAACATGGCAAGATCTCACCTCTACAAAAAATAGGAATTAGCCAGGTGTGGCGGCATGCACCTATAGTCCCAGTTACTTGGGAGGATGAGGTGGGAGAATTGCCTGAGCCCAGGAGATTGAGACTGTGGTGAGCTGTGATTATGTCACTGCACTCCAGTCTGGATGACAGAGTGAGACCCTGACTCAAAAAAAAATTATAAAAAAAATTAAGAAGATAATATAAGCTCTTATATACGTGTGAAATGCTATGATCAATTATATAATTTTGGGGCAGCATAGAGGTTCAGATTTCCATATTTGATGAATTTTAGAAAATGAGTTACCATCTCACAAATAATATTTTAAAATTCCAATGTTTGACCCCAATATCAGCTGGTGATCTAGTTATTACAAAGGCTTATTCCTCTTACCCAAGGATCAGAATTCAGATGGCTACAAGTAAATGGGTCAGGCAGACTGGGTCTGAGGCCCAGATGAGTTGGGGGAATGTGGAGACCCATCTAGATGCAGTTGCTACCACCTAGCCTGCTACTCACATACAGAAATGTGAACCCAGGGATAATGGCAGGGATAATTTTTCAAGAAAATCTGGATTCTGATATACAGTTTGCACATTTTTGCAACTCTTTCAATTTTTAAAAAAATTACTGTACAGACAGCAAAACTCATTTGATGGCTAGATCAGGTACCCTGGCTTGTAGGTTGCGCAATTATTGGCCCCAAAAGGGAAATTTCAAGGCATCACACAAATAGAGTATTAGTTTTCTATTGCTGAATAATAAATCACCACACTTAACAGTTTACAATGGTTTTAAAACAGTTTAAAAAGGCAAACAGAAGCCAGTGCTTTGTGTTAACTTTTAACACCGAATTTCTTCAAAGATGTTCTTAGAATCCTGGCTTGGCCTGGCTGCTGCAAAAGCAGTCTGAGTCTCAAATCAATGAGCAGTATACCTTTTAAGCAAGATCTATTTGACTGCCGAAGGAGAGGGCTGGTATCAGAGCCTGTGCCTGGGAGTGTGATATGGGCCCCAGAAGCTGCGATGGGTTTTCCCTCGAGCAAGGAATCAGGACTCCGGCAGAGACTGGGTAGCTCACAGCTAGAGACGCTTCCATGGAGGATGTCCCCAGGAGCCTCACCTATGGTGTGACCCCGATAAGACAAGACTCCAACCTCATGTGCTATATTTTTATCATCGATCCATGAGTGTTTGCAACATGTTTTCATATGTAAAATGGGGTTCCTTTGATCCATTGTGGTGATAATAGGCACCATGAGGCATGTGCCAGGCAGCACCTGATATCACTGGAATTTCAAATGCCAAATGCCTGACTTTTGCTTGAAAAGTTAATTTTTTTAAAAAGAGAGCAAACCAAAAAAGCTGATCAAGATTTGTTCAATTCCTGTATAGTGTTAAAAAGTTCAAAAATTAGGGGGCTGGAAATATGGTTTTTGATGCTTTCCTGTCCTTAACTCTTGTTTTAGAATAGACCATGTAACCATACTGTGAACTGAATTATCTTTAAGCAACTTTCTTTTATTATTATTTTTTTTTAGAGTCGGGTCTCGCTATGTTGCCCAGGCTGGTCTTAAACTCCTGAGTTCAAACGATCTTCCTGCCTCAGCTTCCCAAAGTGTCAGAATTACAGGCCTAAGCCACTGCGCCCAGCCTGAGCAACTATTTTGATACTGTTCATCATATGAATTAAATTTATTTTGTATTCACCTGTACTTGTCCATGCTTCTTACCAAGCTCGGAGTTCAGTCTCCCAGACCAGAGAGCCCTAATATACAGTCAAAGAAAGAAACCAGGAGAAGGCTCTTGGACCTCATGCAAAATCTTGATGAATTTTTTCAGATGCAGAAACCCAGTCTATTTTATTTGAATTCAGCTCTAAGTGTGTTACTTTTGCATTTCATGATATAAAATAGAATAAAACCCCAATGCTCTGGCAGGGTAACTCGAACAATACCTTGGGGATTTATAAAGAGGCTTCTCACCAACACATGGTGCTAACTTGGATAACTCTTAAGTATAAAAGGTGTTTATTGAAAATGGGATTCATGCTCGGTGCACGTAAGGTTTGATTAGCTTTCCATTTTCTAGTGGGGGAAGGAAGTTGAGTGCCAAGGATCTGCCTGCCTCTGCTCTCTGCTCCCTTCCGAGGATGGTGCTTGCCGGGGACCCTGGCCTTCCTCAGTCTTCTCTTACTCGGGCCCTGCTTTCTCTCCAGGATGAGAGTCTGTGCTAAGTCGGTGTTGCTGTCGCACTGGCTCTTCCTGGCCTGTGTTTTGATGGTGTGCTGTAAGCTGATGTCCGCCTCAAGTCAGCACCTCCGGGGCCATGCAGGTAAGCCCCTTAAGCTCATTATGCACCGCTGAGATCAATTAATAAAACCCTTCCAAACGTTAGCGCCCACCTTTTAGACATAGGTAATTGACAAGAGCTCCTGATGGTGTGTAACTAACCAGAGGACGCATGAAATATGGCAGAGTAATGCAGGTTAATGGTTTGGTGCTTAAAAGGTCTTTGAAAGATGGTTTCCAGGCTTTTGACAACTTTTCTTAAGTATACTTTTACTGTTCTAGCGCTTTTTCTCAAAGATTCTCAAATTCTTGTCTGCCTGTCTGTCTGTCTGTCAAGCAATCATCTATCCATCTACCCGCTTACCCACCCACCCACTCACTTCATCCACCAGCCTCCTTAAAAGGCAGAACATCCTTATGATAAACTCCAATTAACACAGGAATATAGCGGAAGGGACTTTCAGATAATTTAAGACCCTTTTAAGATATGTGGAGAAAAGAGTGATTTTTTTAAAAAAGAAGAAGGCAGAAAAGAAAAAAGCTGTGGTAACTTTTGCCTTAAAATGGAATGTGTCTAAAGTTTTAGAGGCAGTCGTTCTGATAATTTCTAGTGAAATCCATGTCTGTGCATTGCTGATTTTTAAAGGCAAGATTAAATCTGTCAGCTAAGGACCAGTTTGTGAGTATGTGTTTCTCTCCCCTTTCTTGGTTACATCTACATTTAAAGTGACACAGACTTAAAAAATCCCTAGTGAATTGCGTTTTCCTGAATAATTCATATGTGTCAATGAACTCATTGCCAAATAATTAATTTACTGTCTCAGCTGCGGTAATTTGAGGCATGGCAGTGCCAGGAATGTTTTGACTTCTTTGGGAAAGAGTGGTGATTGAACCCTAAATCATGTATGTATCAGAATTATAAATTCTCTCTCCAAAAGGTACTGTGTATGGAAAGTTCATGAGATAGCCTTACCCCCCCAAATATGATATGTCATGTTTTCTACCTCGTTATTCTTATATTTTAAGGCTAGTCATAATTTTAGACTCAAGATAGTTTTGTAAATTAATTTTGTAAACTCAGTTTTCCCTCCTCAAGCTACAGAGTGAAGAAGATGAGAAAATAATGATTGAAGTTTTAACGAATCAACATAAAATCAATACCATTTGGTTGCTATGAAGTGGGTATAGCTAGCTGGTTATTATGCTGTGCATCTTTTGATGAGTTTGTTCATGAGGACAGAGTGTTTGAAGTCATTAATCTTATCTATTTAATACACATTTCTCTTAAGTGGAAGTTGAGAATCAGGCTAGTCAACAGGCAAGATGTTTCAGTGGGTTTATCAACCACTCCCATTCTGTGCCATAATTTTTTTTAATGACTTGCGGGAGAAGAGTCTGTGAAACTTGCAGAGGCCACGTGGCAATTCCTTTCCAGTTTAGCTCTCAGCTGATGGAGAATGCAATGATCTGAACCAGTTGGAGGCTCTGCACTGAGATGCTGAGAAATTTGGTCAGATTTTTACCCCACTACGAGTGCATCACAGGAAGTCTGGCAGTGGGAGCAAATTGCAGAGTTACCTACAGAAGCCAGTGTCTGAGTGTCCAAAAAAGGCACCTGACACTGTCCCAAGGGCTTTGTTGTTAGTGCTGGCCAATTAAAGGGACTGTAGCATTAGGAAGCCCTAACTAGTTAGAAGTTTGTTGTACACTTTTCATGGCTTGAATTGGAAGAGTGGCTTGTGTATTGTTGTGTATAAACAAGGAGGGTTTTACAACCCCATCTCCACCCCACCTATCTAAGTAAGACACAGGGGAAGAAGGTGGGAGTCTACACCTGACTGGGCAATGAGGTGTTAGGTGTGGATTGAAGATTCAATTTTAGATCCAGCATTAAAAACAACAATAACAACAACCACCTACCTAATTTTCACGGATAGGTGGTGAGAGTCAATCTTTCTTTTCTTTTCTTTCTTTCTTTTTTTTTTTTTTGAGTCAAAGTCTCACTCTGTTGCCTAGGCTGGAGTTCAGTGGTACACTCGTGGCCACTGCAACCTTGACCTGCTGGGCTCAGGCAACCCTTCTGCCTCAGCCTTCCAAGTAGCTGAAATTACAGGCATGTATCATCATGCCTGGTTAATTTTTGTTTTTTTTGAGTTGGGGTCTCACTCTGTCACCCAGACTGGAGTGCAGTGGCCGCTCCCGGCCTCTGCAGCCTCGACCTGCTGGGCTTCAGCGATCCTTCCACCTCAGCCTTCCAAGTAGCTGGAACTACAGGCGTGCGCTACCATGCCTGGCTAATTATTTTTTTTGATTTATTGTAGAGATGAGGTCTCGCCAAGTTGTCCAGGCGAGTCTTGAACCCATGGGCTCAGGCAATCCACTCACCTCAGCCTTCCAAAGCGTGGGATTACAGGCTGAGCCACCGAGTCTGGCTAATTTTTTGATTAATTGTAGAGGTCTTGCCAAGTTGTCCAGGCTGATCTTGAACCCCTAGACTCAGGCAGTCCTCTCGCCTCAGTGTCCCAAAGTGTTGGGATTACAGGCGCGAGCCACTGTGCCTGGCGGGAATCCTGCTTGAGGACAAACATCATCAGTAAAATTCCACAGGAGTCCAGAGGTAGTGTTTTTTAGAAATTATAAACCACAAAAGACCACTTTTGCTGTTGTTAAAATTGATTTGCCATAGTGATTGAGCAGGAGGTCACATATAGGACTTATGTAGCTTCAAGTAGTAGAAAAGGTGAAGGGGTCAGTTGGCAGGTTTGTTTCTTTAAAAAAAAAAAGCCAAAGTTAGTTCTGTTATTTCTTCAAGTAGTGATTTGTCCATTTTTTTTCTTTTTGCCTGTAAGCAGAGTGTCATTTTCCCACAAGAGGGCAGCAAATGTAGCAGAGTGGAAAAATGTTTTTGGAAGGCAGTTTCAGAAATTCAGGAGTCCTGTAGAATTAATCTTTTAGGGATCTTTTTGGAAATTTCCTCTGGTGTAGAAATGGTGAGGTCGGAAATCATAGTGCCCTACATCCTTCAAATTTATCCCTGGGACTATTTGGACACTTCAAAGTTTAAACTTTCCCTTTTAAAGATATAATTATAGCCACTTCTGTGACGGAGCTGAGAGAGTTTAGGAACCTGGGTGCTACTGATTCACACATACACTTTAATAGTTCCATTTTCTCAGAGAGCTTTAAGTAGGACCCAGACTGGGATGTTTCCATTGTGCCAAATGCTGTGGTGCCTGGCGACTATTTGATATAATCTGTTTGGTGTAAAGGCCCTGAAACACTGGAGCCCACCTGGAAGTGAGGCAGCCAACAGAATCAAGTGTTAGGAATCTGAAGTCAAGTGTCCACCTGGTTCTGCCACATCCTGACTGTGTGACCTTGTCCAGGTTATTTAACCTCTCTGAACCTGTTTCATCATCTGTAAAAATGATACATGTGCCTGCCTTGTGTGGAGCTATTGGGATGACTAAGAAAAAGATAAGCAAAGGGATTAGCACACAGGAAACATTCAATAAATAGTAGCTATTTTCATATTTGTAAGCTTCCAGAATGAGAAGGCTGGAAAGGTTCACCTTTAAGGAATGACGGAAGACTGTAGGTGTGTGTAGGAAGCTAGGATAAATGCCTTCAGGGTTTGAAGCTTTATCATGCACAAGAGAAGATGACTTGGTTTTCATTGTTCTAAAAAGTTGACTAGAACGAAGAGCTGCTTTATGAAGATTGAGGGTTCAGCTCAACCTTAAGGAGAGAAAGGCTTCTACAAGCTGGGGAACAGAGTGACCCATGGGGGTGTTGAGAGCCCTTTTACTTGCTGGCCCCGAGCTAACTCTGCTGTGGAGAGGCTGCCTCACTGATAAGGAACTGGGTAGGTGTCAAGAATTGTGAAGAGACCAGGTGCGGTGGCTCCTGTCTGTAATCCCAGCACTTTGGGAGGCCAAGGTGGGAGATTGCTTGAGTTTGAGATTAGCCTGGACCGCAGAGCAAGACCCCATCTCTCCAAAAAATTAAAAAAACAAAAACAGAAACTGGGTGTGGTGACACACCCCTGTAGTCTCTGGTACTTGGAGAATCACTTGGGCACTGGAGATTGAAGCTGTAGTGAGCCAGGATTGTGCCGTGGCACTCCAGCCTGGGTGACACAGGAAGACCCTGTCTCTTAAAAAAAGAAAGAAAGAAAAGAAAAGAATTGTGAAGGGTTTGTGATTTTACCTATTTGCAAGCAACAGGTTAGCCGGTCATAGTTTCATGGATGCTGGCAGAACACATGAGAGGCTTGGGTCAGGGTGGAAGGATTCTATTATAGTATCATTTAAAATTACATGTGACTATATTTAGCAGCATGAACTTCAGGTTTAGTTCAGTCCGTCCTCATACTTTGGTGAGTTATGGAATTCCTTTGGGACTCAATCTCTTCTTATGTAAAGTCAGAATAATTAAACATAATTAAAATAATTCTCAGCTGTAATGTAGAGTCAATTAGTTGTTGTCTAGAAAATGTGGAGAACTGTGATTGCCGAGTAAGTTCTCAGTAAATGCTGCTCATCTTTATTTAGACCTGCCTTCTCCTTTCAAATGTTTTTCATTTCATAGAGGTGCTTAAATTATGGAAATTTAGGTTTGCTGTTTCTTGTTACAAAGGATAATGCAAAATATGCATGCTGTGATTATGCATGTTGGTGACTTGTGTAATTTTTTCTTAGGACAAATTATTTGAGTAGTTGTGGTATCCAAATTGAAGTCCATGTTTCTGTTCCCTACAATGGCTGAAATTTCTAGGACCTCTACAGAGACTCTTGATTGGATTGGCTATTTTAGCCTTACTTTTCCATAAGAAATCGGTTTCTTTCAAAAATACCAGCTGAGTGGGGAATATAACTTCTACTTAAGGAGATTCTTTGTGAGGCTTAAGTATGATATATTATTTGTGAAAATGATAAAGATGCACGTTCAAGCTGCTCTTGGTACTTTGCAGACAAATGAATTGTACTTAACACAGACGGTTTGGAAAAATGATTTGCCTGCATTGCCTAGGTTCTGCCAGCA